TCTTAGGATTGACTGGTTTGATCTCCTTGCAGTCCAAAGGACTCTCAAGAGTCTTCTCCAACACCACAGTTCCAAAGCATCAATTCTTTGGCGCTCAGCCCTGTTCATGGTCCAGACCCTTAGGAGAGATAGACTTAGATGTTAAACAACTAATTACAAAATTATGTTGTTACAAATGTGATGAGTACCACAGAGAAATACTAGATACTAATAGAATGCTAAAATACATGTCTTTATATATATGTACATTTATACACACACACGCAACCATGGGCCACATGCAGATCTAAAGCAAAGCAAAGGTACTTTATCACCTGTGAAGGCTTTGGTTCTCAAAGTTCAATGTAGAGTTCATTTGGATGCTGTGGGGGCCTCCTTTGTTTAAAGCCAGGGAGGCCTAAACGTCCTACAACTGGACAAGCCAGAGATCTGCTCTGCCTGCCTCTATCCAGTCAGACCTCAAGTCTGATCTGGAACCTTGAGCTCTCCTTTGGGAGAGAAGGAGCCGTATGAGACAAGGGTGAGAGATCAAGCCCCGGGTGCCTCTGCTCCCAGCCCTTCTTGGGTGGGGGTGAGAAAGTTGGGGGGCTCGGTCGGAAGGAAGGGAGATAACTTTTGAGGAAACAGACGTGACTTCAGATCTTCTCGGTCCTTGACTCCCAAGGCATCGCACTGTCCTCGCCAACCACCGACCTCCTTGCATGTCGCCCTCTCCCCTGATACCCCCTTGAGTGTCCATGTGTCTTAGTCCCTGCCGTGCTGTACGTGGGTCTGTCGCCTGCACCCAGAGCTTCAATTGCCATCCACACACGGAGGACCTTCAAGAATGTTTTTTTTCACTTAGATAGATTAACTCAGACTAAGCATGTTCTAGGCACAATTCATTAGTTTCTTTCTCACAAATGCATTCTACCCCCTCCCATATTTCTTATGAAAACAGTAGAAGGCAATCCATTCAGACTCTCAGGCTCAGAGACTGGCAGTCAGCCTAGACGCCTTATCACTCATCTCCTATTGCTTCTCCTTCAGGAGAAACTGTTGCTTATGGTTTTCAAGGCAGTGCCCTGATTCCATATTTTCACCTTTTTGCTGAGTAACTGCTTCAGTGCGAAGGCTCTGGGTTTTGGAGTCGGGCGGGTCTAGTTCTGAATTCTGACTTGACTACTTACTAGCTGTGTTACTTCTCTAAGCTTCAGGTCTGTAAAATGGACATGATAATATCAAACTCACAGGGTTATTTTTGACGATTAGATGAATGATGCATTTTAAGTACTATCTACACTATCTGGTCCATAGTAACAACTCAATAAATGTTCACCTATAATTGACTTTATGATTGCTTCCCATGACTACTGTGAAGATGTGATCAAGTTGATAAAGACCTATATATCAGTATTTGATGTATTGGAATCTCTGAGTAAAGGAGGTCAAATTCTTTCCTTGTGACCTCCAGTGTTATCTTCAAAACACACCAGAGGTTTTTTTTTTTTTCTTATAATTAAAAAGAATTTTTTGTTTTGCCACACCACACAGCATGGGATCTCAGTTTCCCAACCAGGGATCGAGCTTGTGCCCCTGCATCGGAAGCTCAGAGTCTTAGCCACTGGACCGCCAGGGAATTCCTCCTCCAGAGGTATCTTTCTTAAAAAACAAAGAGTCCCCATCATCTTCCTGCTTTTAGCTCTCCATGGCTGGTAGGAGGAAGTCTGTGTTTAGTCTGGTGCACAGGTCTTCAAATTCCGCTCCTGTTCTCTCTCTAAAACCTTGCTGCCCCTCTTCTTCCTCTCCAGCACGTTACACATCACCACTCTGAAACTGTCCATACCCTTTACACCTAGGACTTTGGACCTGCTTAGCTGTCTTCCCCACTCGTAAGCCCTGCAGCCGTGAAGGGTTGCATGGCCTCCATGAAGCCGGCTTCCCCAGGTCTCCGGGTGAGACTCACTGGCTTCTTTCTCTATACCCTGTGGTACTTGTGTATAACTTTGTTCTGATATTGATGGAACCGTAATTTATCTGCTTGTGTGTCAGCTTCCTCCATTAGATACAGTGTTCCTGAGGGAAAGACTTACCTTCTGATCATCACAGCCCAGTGCCTGGCAGGGGAGGATGTTTGGCGTTCAATGATGGTTCAGTTAAGGGTCAGTGGTGAATAAAGTGTCCCAGACTCAGTTCCAAAGAGAACTTCCAAAAGTGTTTTCAGTACTATTAGAATGAAGGTCTAGCCTCTCCAGTCATCTCCTTTAAAAAGGCAGCATGAATGGAGATGTTTAATATCTGATACATTTACAAAGAAGTCTTTCCAGCTGGTGTGTAGATACCTGGAGGGAAGAGCAACTGAATTTTGTTCAACTGCTCCTTGGAATGAAATAGCTGACCTCCCTACAATAAGATCTGGGTCCCATCTGCGCAGAGAGCAGGGCACAGGCTGGAGGCAGATGGCATTTCTGAGATGTCATTTGCGGTTGTCATAGTGAATGAACAAAAAGGAAGAACAAGAAAGGAAACTTTCATGTCTCCTTTCTAATCTCTGCTTGGGTGGCAAAGGGTCCTGAGTGGGAAGGAAATATGCTTTAATGGCAACTCAGCAACAAGGTGAGGACTGGGGTGTTTCCTTTTCCTTCTGGACCAGGGGATAAGTGTCAGGGAACTGTGGGAGTGAACAGAGGAGTCTAGAACTCTAGTGCTTTGAAGGGCTGGAGAGGGAAGGGACTGGGAATATTTGGGACTTTTTCAAGCTGATAAAAGACTGTTGCCAGTGTCATCATTATGCTACCTAAGGAGGTGAATGAATTGGATCTTTGCATTCATCAGAGTACCCATGTCTACACCTGGAGTATTTCTTTGATTTCAAATTATCTTTGCTCCAGGGAGAAACAATGATGTAGTGACCCAGGAGTGCAATAAATGGGCAAGGTTGATCCTCTGGGGTCTCTCCAGAAATTTACCTCTTTTCCTCTCCCTGCCTCCATTTATTCCCACTTACAGTCGGCTGACTGGACTTACCCATGGCCAGGTCATGTGTGACATCAAATTTCGGCAGTGCTGCTGATTGAGTGATTTAGTAAAGATATAAAATCTTCCATGGGCAAGGAGCTCAGTAGATTAGGGTCTATGTAAAGGTAGCATTGGTTCTGAGTATGAAGAAATGGGGCTTCCCAGGTGGCTCAGGGGTAAAGAATCTGCCTGCTAATGCAGGAGACGTGGATTTGATCCCTGGGTCGGAAAGATCCCCTGGAGAAGGCAGTGGCATCCCACTCCAGTATTCTTGCCTAGGAGATCCCACGGACAGAGGAGCCTGGACAGGTTACAGTCCATGAGGCCTCAAAGAGTCGGACATGACTGAACAACTAACACACACACACACACACACACACACACACACACACACACCCAGGAAGCAGGAGTGAAGGCTGAGGTGGGCAGAGCAGGGAAGGAAGCCGAGCCAGCATGAGGATTCCTTGTTGCCTGGTCCTTACATAGTGCACGCAATCGCTCCATCAGTGCAGCGGCGCCCTGAGAGGTCTTGTAGGTCTGCTCTACAAGGGGAAGAAAAGGGGCAGATTTTTCCAGTACTTCCTGTCTTTCAGAAAGCGTTCATTCCCCCCACTTCCAGGATGCACACGCAGCAGGGAAACACCAGCTTGGGAGACAAGACACGGTCATGTTGTCAAAGCCCAGACAGGGCAGCAGCAAGGGACGTGTGAGCTGAGAGGGTCTAAAGATCCGCAAGGGACGTCTGCTTCAGTGGGGAAGCTTGGTGTGGGCTGAGGAATATTCCCGTTTGGTGAGGTGTTGATTCTGTCCTCCAGAGGTGATAGTTTGGTAATTTCTACCTGCAGGGAATAGGGCTTCCCTGATAGCTCAGTTGGGAAAGAATCCGCCTGCAATGTAGGAGACCCCGGTTCAGCTTCTGAGTTGGGAAGATCCCCTGGAGAAGGGACAGGCTGCCCACTCCAGTATTCTTGGGCTTCCTTGATGGCTCAGCTAATAAAGAATCTGCCTGCAATGTGAGAGACCTGGGTTTGGTCCCTGGGTTGGGAAGATCCCCTGGAGAAGGGAAAGGCTACCCACTCCAGTGTCCTAGCCTGGAAAATCTCACGGACTATATAGTCCATGGGGTCAGACACGACTGAGCGACTTTCACTTTCACCTGCAGGGAATTTTATTCCTTTTGATGCTGTTGTGAGTTTTTTTTAAATTTCATGTTTGGCTTGTTCCTTGATAGTGGGCAGGAATGCAATTGCTTTTTGTACATTGACCTTGTATCCTGCTACCTGGTTGAACTTATTTCTTAGCTTTAATTGTGTGTGTGTGTGAATTCCTTAGGATTTTTTTTAGACGAGAGCATGTCAGCTGCAAGTAAAAATAGTTTTACTTATCTGCAGGAAATTTGTTAAATAGATAAAAAGCTAAGTCCTTTCCCCATTCTCATCTGAACAACTTCCTAAGTCGTTTACTAGGTTCATCGGAAACTGTTATCTCAGGAACCAAGGCCATAATATGGTTTCCCACATTGCTAAATTTATTACATGAAATATATACAGAATATTTATTTGAAAAATTTTAATTGGAGAATAATTGCTTTACAATATTGTGTTGGCTTCTGCCATATAACAGCATGAATCAGCGTAAGTATACATATGTCCCCTCCCTTTTGAGCCTCCCTCCCACCCCCCTNCCCCTGGGGAATGGAATGCCAGTGGCCTGTCAGACCAATCACAGGCTGGAATTCTCACCCGTATTTAAGAGAAATCTTGCCTTTTCCTCCACATCAGGTCATGGGCCAAGCTCACTCATGATGAAGTTAAATTGGGTGATTGGCCTGGGATAGCTTGAATTGTTGATTTGATTTCTGAATCCTAGTGTGAGTGGTGACCAGCAGAGAGACAAGCTGGGCAAGTAAACAAAGTCATGCCCTCTGATGGGCTGGCCATTAGGATTTTTCCAAAGTCCTTTGATGCATTTTGTTGAGTGGATTCTTTCTTTTTCTCTTTTAGAAATAATTATAGAAATTAATGAGGTGTCGGTGTTTAATAACACCTGTGTGAGGTGGCAAATAAACCCAGGAAGAATAAACTCCAAGATCGAATATGTGGTAAGTGAAGTGAGCTCCTTTTTTTCTGCCAGGGCAGAGATGGTTACCATGGGAATAAGAGTCAGAGGAACTTGCTTCCAGAAGTGCTTCTCAGTCAAATAGCTCTCCAATACCATAGTCCTTTTTAAAGTGAGTAGAATTTTTAAGATATCTGGATTATTTTATTTTACTTTTGGTGTTTAATGTGTTTGTCATCCTCCAGGGTGTATGTGTGGGGGGTATATTTATATTTGGCATCATCATGATCGCTTGTTTCCAATCTGTGTGTTACTCCCCCAGAGCAAGCCTAGAAGCATCTGCTGCCTGGGTGACAGGATGCAGCGAGCGGGTCTCAGGTTGTGACTGCCTCCACTGATCGCTGGTCATTTGAGTGCAGGATAGCACTCCTTAGAGAAACTCTCCATTTTATGTCACTTCTCAGGGTTTCTGGATTACCGGGCTGATCAGATTTCATCATTAGATACCTGATAGCAGAGGGCTGCCCGATTTGTCTCTCCCAGGGTGAGCAGTGCAGGATAAAAGGGAGTAGGTAGAGAGTAGGTTCCAGCACTATAAAATCTCTCTTGGTTGTTTTCAGTGGATCACGTGGGTTCTCTTGTCTTTTCCCCTCACAAAGATATACATAAAAGGACAACGGTTGGATCCCCTGGAATCAGGTCATGAGGAGACAGTTAATTTGACCACAGAGAGCAGGACCCCAGAAGTGTGCCTAGACCTGAGCCAGGGCACCAACTACACGGTGAACATTTCTACAGCCCCTCCCCGACGCTCGGTGCCAGCCGTCATTGAGCTCCAGACAGCTGGTAGGTGGAGGGGAAGTCTCATTTCCTCCTAGAGAATGCTCAGCGCAGGATGTGGGGAACCGTGCTTCAGAATCCACAGGTCAGGAGAGTTCATAGTTACATTCTAAGGTTTGCAGCCAACGGGTTAATTACTCCAGGGGTCAGAACCAGAGCAGGGCTAGTAGGAGAGATTCCTGTCCTAAGGATGCCAGACTGAATGGGCACTGATGTATGGATTCTTAGCTGGGTCTTCTAGTTGACATGGAAGGTAATAAGAAGGCATTTAAAAAACAGCTGTAAGCAATGATGCACTCTATTTCAGTTGTCCAAGGCAATAGAGGGTAGCCATCTGGCTTATCTTTGGTGGGAAACTCAAAAGTCATTTCTTACTCTTGCCTATGACAAAGGAGGAGGCAGGGAAGCTGACCCAGCAGCTATACATTAAGGATGAGAAGTGACCCCAGGACTGATTGGGGTGGGGATTCAAAGTGAGGGTGAGCAGGTGGAGAGGAGGAGGCAGCCCTCGGATGCAGGAGGGTAGAAGTTGGTTGTAAAGCAGATTGGACACGAAGGAGCTTCAAGAGGTTGTAATAAACTCCAAGACATATATATATCATCTGGATTTTTATATCATCATGACAATTACAATAAGTTTTTTTTCATCACTCTGGTTGTGGGATGTCAAAATTAATTAAATTCTTTAAAATCAAACCTTGAGAAGCCATTGGTGTTATTTGTTGTCTTGTATGGGTTGAGGTAGTTCTCAGCTAGCTATTTGATGTCCTATTTAAGAAAACCTATTTTAAGTTGGACCATAAAGGAAAGTGAGTGCCAAAGAATTGATGCTTTTGAACTGTGGTGTTGGAGAAGGCTCTTGAGAGTCACTTGGACTGCAAGGAGATCCAACCAGTCAATCATAAAGGAAATCAATCCTGAATATTCATTGGAAGGACTGATGCTGAAGCTGAAGCTCCAATACTTTGGAGAACTGACTCATTGGAAAAGACCCTGATGTTGAGAAAGATTGAAGGCAGGAGGAGAAGGGGACAACAGAGGATGAGATGGTTGGATGGCATCACTGACTCAATACACATGAGTTTGAGCAAGCTCCAGGATTTGGTGATGGACAGGGAGGCCTGGCTCAGAGTCGGACATGACTGAGTGACTGAACTGAATTTAAGAAAACTCAACTTATCTCAAAATAACTTTTTTGGAAAAGAGTAAGTTTTAAATAAGTATTTAAATACCCTAGTGTTGAGGGCTCCTGGATTGCACAGTGTTGTACCAAATGCCTGTTGTACCTTTGTGGATGAGAACCATTATAAAAACTGCACTATGTGCCTTCAAAGTACTTCCAGGATTGGAGTGGAGATGGTGAGGTGACTTTATTTTTGTTTTTGTTGTTGTTGTTTTTAATTAATTTTTATTGGAATATAGTTGATTTACAGCACTGTGTTCGTTTCAGGTGTTCAGCAAAATGAATCAGTTACACTAGTATCAATTCTTTTTTGGATTCTTTTCCCGTATAGGCATTAGAGTATTGTGTAGAGCTCCCTGTGCTACCCCAGTAGGTCATTATTATCTATTTTATATATGGTAATGTGTCTGTGTCAATCCCAATCTCCCAATCTGTGAGTCTTTTTCTGTTTTGTAAATAGGTTCCTTTGTACCATACTTTTTTTAGATTTCCACATAAAAGCAATTCATGTAGTATTTGTCTTTGTCTGACTTACTTCACTTAGTATGATAGTCTCTAGATTCATCCATGTTGCTGCAAATGACATTATTTTGTTCTTTTTTAAGGCTGACTAATATTCCATGCCATTCATTGATGAACATTTAGATTGTTTCCTCATCCTGACTGTTGAAGTGCATTTGTTTTTACTGAAATGAGATGCCCTCTTTTAGAGGCAGTGCTGGGAGTTATTGTGATGTTTTTACTTTGGTCCAGAGAATATGAAATAAACAAAGTTTCCTGGCCAAAAATAATATTTATGATAGAAAAGAATCTTAAAAAAAAAGAATGTATATATATATATGACTTTGCTGTACACCTAAAACTAAAACTAAACTAAAACTTCTTTCAAAGTTGTTTTGGCTACCTTAGATATTTTCTGTTCCTGTATGAATTTTAGAAACAGTTTATCAGTGTAAAAAAGGCATATTGAGATTTTAATTTGGACTGTGTCAAGTTCATAGATCAATTTGAGGAGAACTGACATGTTAACAATATTGAGTCTTCCAACATATAGGACACTTTCCACTTATTTAGGTCTTCTTTAATTTACCTCATGTTTTCTAATTTTCAGTGCATAGGTTTTTCACATCTGTTTTTAGATTCATTTCTCCATATCTCATATTGTAAATGATATCTTTAAAATTTAGATTTTGATTGATCTTATATCATGAAAACTTATTAAATTTATTATTAATTCTGGCAGTTTTTTATAGCTCCCATTGGATTTTTATATAGACAAGCATGTCTTCTGTGAATAAAGACAAGTTTTACTTCCTTCCTTCTAATTTGAGTGTCTTTTATTTCTGTTTCTTGCTTTATTGCATTGGCTGTAACTTCTAGTACAGTGCTGAATAGTCACGGTATAAATGGCTATCCTTGCTTTGTTCCCTGTTATGGGGGAAGCTATTTCATATTTAAGACCATTAAATCTGTAGGTTTTTCAGAGATGTCCTTTGTTAAATTAAGGAATTTCACTTCTATTTGTAGTTTGTTGAGAGGGCTAATATGATCTAATTTCAAGAACTTAATATAAAGCTTCAGTAATTGACATTGGTGTTGATAGTACTATGTCAAAGTAAACAAGTATATCAATGGAACAGAATAGAGAACCCAGAAAAAGACCCACACATTTATGGTAGCTGATATGGCAGATTTTGAACAAAAATAAAAAGGTAGTTCAGTGGAGAATAAACAGACAATTTGTGCTAAAAACAACTTCAAAAAAAAAAAAAAAAGGAGAACCATGTCTCATATCATACACAAGAATTAATTCAAAATGGATCATAGACCAAAATGGAAAATCCAAAATTATAAAACTTCTAGAAAAAGTTAACAGACTTTCCTTAAAAAACCAGATTGTAAATATTTTAGGCTTGCGGACATATGGTCTGTGCTGCAACTACACAGCTCTGCAATTATAGTGTGAAAGTGGCCCTAGAAAACGCATAAATGAATGCGTATGGCTGTGTGTCAATAAAACTTTATGACTGTGTCTAGTCCACCCTGGGAATGCAAGAATGGTTTAAAGATAAACTATTAATGTAATTCGCTGCTTAGATAGATCAAAGGCAAAAAGCCAAATGATCATCTGGATAGATACAGCAAAACAAAGCAACTAGCCAAACAAAAAAACACCCACATTAGACAAATTTTGAATTCATTTTTGATAAATTCTCCCAGAAAATCAGGAAGGATGAGAAAACCCAACAGCAAACTTTTTTTTTTTCCCATGGAACTTTAAAAGCATTACTAGACCAAAGATAAAGATACCTTCTGTCACCAGTGCTATTCAACTCTGCTTTATAGTGGAACCAACTGAGCCAGAGAGCAAATGGAGAGAGAATGGCAAGAAAAAGCCCAAACTGTCTTTAACTGAAGACATGATGGTCTACACAGAAAATCCAAGATAATCTGCTCTCAAACTATTTAAAACCATATGATAGCTCAACACAACCGCTGCGTACAAGGCAGCACACTAAAGTCAATAACCCTTCTCCTGAAGAGCAATACAGTTTAGAACATATAAGAGAGGCAAACTCCATTCACAAAGGCAGTAAAATCTATAGGGTACTTAACATGAAATCTAAGAACAGACGTACAAGCTCCATATGGAAGCAGTATCGCAGTGGGGGTCAGAATAGGGCCTCCAACCTACAATGCCTGGTTCTACATTACAGCTCTACCGCTGACTGGTGTGACCACTCTGCCGGTTTCCCCATTTGTAAAAGGGAGACAGTAATAATATTACGTCTTTGGGAAGTTGGGAAGATTAATTTGAGTTAAATATAAAGTGTTTAGAACAGTAGTTGGCACATACAAATATATAAATGTTTGCTGTTATTGTTGGGAAGAAAAATTAGAGCACTTAATTGAAGAACATGAATGAACATTTGAATCAATATACAGACAGATCATGCCCATGAATGGGACAACTTAGCATTAGAAAAATATCATTTTCCATTTGATCTATAAGTTTAAATTTATAAATTCTTTGCCGTTTCAAGAAAAGTGACAACAGGGATAAACTGAAATTTTTTATAGAAATGCAAAGGTCCATGAATAGTCAAGACAATTTTGAAGAAAAACAAAGACTATAGCATTTGATCTATTTGATATTGACTTATTAAAAAACTATACTATCTAAGACACATGGGCTAGATAAAAAGACCAATGGAATACAATAGAGAGTCCAGAAACATGCCCACATATATACAAGAACTTGGTATAGAAGATGCTTGGCTTTATAATTAGAGAGAGAAAGATAGGCTAGTCAAGCATTGATTTGGATACTGGGTTCCTCATATGGAAAAAGTATATAGTTAGATCTCTACTTTCCTCCAAATAGAACATTATGCTCTAGAGGGGCTAAATGTAAATATAAAGACATTCTATAGCCTACCTTCATACTCACAAGATAGAGATTTAGTGAATGAGACAAAAAGGCAAAATACTTCAAAGAAAATACCGATAAATTTCACTACATCAAAATTAACAACTTCTGAAGGAAAACAGTACCACAAAGTTAAGAGATGAGCAACAAATTAGCAGAGAATGTTTCAAAATACACCTAAACAGACAGAGAACAGGTAGTAAAACTATACAAGAAGCTCCAGAAAATCAGCAAGAAAAAAGCCAAAAGGGAATAACAGGCAATTCTTTTTTTTTTTCTTTTCCATTTATTTTTATTAGTTGGAGGCTAATTACTTTACAGCATTGGAGTGGTTTTTGTCATACATTGAAATGAATTAGCCATGGATTTACATGTATTCCCCATCCCGGTCCCCCCTCCCACCTCCCTCTCCACCCCATCCCTCTGGGTCTTCCCAGTGCACCAGGCCTGANGACGTGGGTTCAATCCCTGGGTTGGGAAGATCCCCTGGAGGAGGGCATGGCAACCCACTCCAGTATCCTTGCCTGGAGAATCCCATGGACAGAGGATCCTGGCGGGCTACAGTCTGGGCTATAGTCCATAGGGTCACAAAGAGTCCAATAAGACTAAGCGATTGAGCACACATGCATGCAACAAGGTGGAAAAGCCAGAATCTGTATCATCTGCTGATTTTTGCGCTATAAATATTCCCAATAGGGCTGATTTCTAGTTACTACTGTGATATCACTGAACACAGAGTCTGGAAGAGAAACACAATCAGCTCCTGCAAGAAGGTTCTCGGGGCAGGCTCCAGCACACCATTGATTGTTTTCTCCCAGCATTCAAAATCAATGAAGAAACTAGGTAGAACTGAAAAACAAGGCTTAGGAAAAAAGCAATTTGCAATATGGTACAATCAATATGATAATGTTTGTATACATTTTTAAATTACATGAAATGATATAATGCATGTACATGTGTTAAAGAATAGAACATGGATGAGAAAAAAACAAATTTAGGGACAGTGTTCACCTTTGGAAAGAGAATGGGAGGATTAGGACTAGAAAGGGAAGCAAAAAAGATTCAATGTCTCTGATTCTATTTCTTATATTAAAAGATCGGCAGCTAACATGTTAGAATTTTAATATTGATTCCTTTAGAATCAATATTCAAAAGGGGGGGATTGTAATAATAAACTCCAGTCTCTTGCTTATTTGAACTATCTCATTAAAATAAATGGGGCTTCCCAAATGGCACTAGTGGTAAAGAACCCACCTGGCAATGCAGGAGACATAAGAGACACGGGTTGGTTCCTGGGTTGAGATCACCTGGATCAGGGCATGGCAACCCACTCCAGTGTTCTTGCCTGCAGAATCCCATGGACAGAGAAGCCTGGTGGGCTATAGTCCATAGGGTCACAAAGAGTTGGACACGACTGAAGTGACTCAGCATGCTCACACACACATTAAAATATATGCAGAATATAAAGGATGGATCATGGTTGTGTAAAAACAAAACTTTACCTTGAAATGCCCAGGAATGAGACACTCCAAAAGGTTTCTGGTACAATGAATTCAGGACCATGCCTTGTCTATTTTCCCTTATGTACACATTTTCTATTATGTGTCACTTTTGCAGTGGCAGAAAGTGACTAAAATTGTGAGCGTGGGACCAGATGGCAGGCCTGGGTCCTTCCCTGATGACACGGCTATCTGATGGGTCTCAGCGCGTCTCTGTGTTGTTAGATGGTCTCCATCCAGAGGCACTGTGACCTAGACTGGGAGTGGGTGGGTGGGTTTCTGTCTAGCCTTTCACGGGAGAGAAGATCCATCCAAGTGCTGCTTCAGGCAGCTTCTCCAAGGCAAGACAGATGGTTCCCAGAGGTGAAAGAGACCATCTTGAACTCCCTGTGGGAACTCCCTCTGGGTAGTCACAGAGGGGAAAGGTGGCAGAGAGGTCGTTGCATCAATACCAGCTTGTATGGGCTGACTGTACAAGCTCTGGAGTCTCACAGACCTGGGTAAATCTCAGCTCTGCCACTTACCGGCTGGGTGACTTAGGGAGTGACTTGGTGTTTGTTTATTCATTTATAAAAAGAGCACCATAGTAGGTTGTGTTATAATGCAAAACATTTGTACTATATCCTCCCTCCTTGGTGGAGGATTGTACTTGTGTGTGCCATTAAGGTCATAGGTCATAAGGTCATTAATGGCCATGTGACCTGTAGTGTTCCTGTCTGCCCTTTGAACTCATGAGTGGTGGTTATGTGACTTACTGGGGCCAATGAAGTTCTAAGAGGGAGCTCATGACCCCAATCTCTCTTTCACCTCTACCATGACCCCAGCAATGCCCAGTGTAGGGCTCCTCCATCAGCCTGGATCCCAGAGTAAAGATGACAAGGGTCAGAGTTGCAGCCAACTTGTGAAGGGCGTGTGGCACGAGTGAGAAGTAGATTCCATATGGCACAGAATTTTGAACGGTTGTCCATTGTTTCAGTACAACCTAGTTTTCATTCTGGCTGAGACAAGAGTCCTCATGTGTTTGAGGACAGTACAAGATAACGCATGTGAAATGTTTAGCCGCCACCAGCTGGAACACAGGGATGTAGTGGTTTCCACTGGAGAGGTTATGTTGCAGTGAAAAAACGATCCACAAATCTCAGTGCCCAAACACAGCGCATATTTATTTCTCACTCATCTTATACATCTAACGGGGTTCATGTTCTTTGTAATCATGCATGGACTCTGGCTTATAGAGGCTTTATCTTGACATTTACTTTTCCAAGGCCCTAAGTCAGAAGGAGGATAAAAGAACTTAATCTCCAAGAGAAAACTAAGTGTCCGTCACCAAGAGGGTACATTATACAGTGTATCTGTGTAATGGAATACTATACAACAGTGAAAAATGAACAAACCACATATATAAACCATATATAAAAAATTGAATGAAGCTCAGAAACAATGTTGAGCAGAAGAAATCAGATAGAAAAACATTCATATTCTATGATTGTATTTACAGAAAGACCCCCACTGCCCACCAGCAAAATTACAGTGTTAGAAGTCGAGGTGAAGGTTATCTTTTGGGCAGATAGTGGGTTATGAGAAAGACCTTGTGAGGACAGCCGTGGTCTCTTTTCCTGATGTAGGTGATGGCAGTTACACAATTACATCTTCTCAGAAAGGTCTTCTCCACTCTCTATAAAATAGACCCCCATCCATCTCCATCTCTGCACCCCACTTCTCACTCATCATGACCTCCATGTTATATAGTCATATTCTTGCTGATCTTGCTGTGCTAATAGGTCAACCCCATAAGAGCAGAGAGTTTGGTTTGTTCTGTTCTCATTACCACTGTGCTGGAAATGTGCCCTCATATAGTAGGTGCTCAACAAACATTCATCACAAATGAAAGAATAAGGAGGAGGCCATAGAGAGAGAGAGAGAGAGGATGGAGTCAGGAGGACAGACAGGCAGTAGGATGGGGCACTCAGCTTTGTGCCAAGAAACAGAGATGCCTCCAGATTTAAGAGAGGAAGCAATGGATGGCATCAGGTTGAGCGGGGTTGGGGTGGGAGTGAGCAGGATGTTGAGGGAGGAGCCTTGGCACTGGTGAGGGAGTGCTTCAGAATGGAGGAGACAGCTCTCAGGAACCCCGAGGGAGTCAGAGGAGACTTCACAGGGGTGCAAGTGGCTGAAACAGAGCCTTAGGGCCCAGCAAGGTTCAAGACCATAAACTCCCAGGTCCCCAGCCTGGCTCAGAGGCTGATGAAAGGGGTGGATCACTGTGTTGGGCCAGGTCAAGCCCCTATTCACAGTGATCCAGGGTATCCTAGAAGATGGGGTGGATGTTTCAGGTCTCATGGATGGGGTGAGGGGTCTTCACAAGTTCAGAGAGGTGAGGCTCAGTCTATGATAATGACTAACATTCCAGAGCACCCATGAGGCCAGGCCCCTACTAAGCATGGACTGGCCACACTAGCCCTGTGATCACATCCATTAAACTGGTGAGGTTGTGCTTGCCCAGGGCTCCCTCGCTGTTCAAGCTTGAACCCAGTCTGTCCGTCTTCCAGTGTCTGAGGTCACGGTCACTTTCCGTACTGAGTTAGAGAGAGGAGAGGGGAATGGACAGAGTGGGACTCCGCTGTTAGGCGCATGGGACCAGAGCAGCCCAGGCTGGTGGGTGAGAGAGGGTGTGAGAGTCAGCTTCTTTCCCTTTCCCGGTGGCTCAGAGGGTGAAGTGTCTGCCTGCAATGTGGGAGACCGGGGTTCGATCCCTGGGTCAGGAAGATACCCTGGAGAAGGAAATGGCAACCCACTCCAGTATCCTTGCCTGGAAAACCCCATGGACAGAGGAGCCTAGTAGGCTATAGTCCATGGGGTCGCAAAGAGTCGGATACGACTGAGGGTCCTTGCATTTACCTGGCCCTTGCACTGAATCTGCACACCTGTGCTAAGAGGTGGGCGTGCTTGCAGAAGCTGAGGTAGGGGACAGGTGGGGGACCTGCCCTGGGTCACTCAGCATCCAGGAGATGTTGGCAGAGCCTCAAGCTGCTCCTGGGTCCTGCCCTTTCAATTATGCCCTGCAGGGTGCTGGTGGGGGTGGGGAGGAACTTTCACCTCCTGATAGGTTTATTCTGGGTGTTTCTAAGGAATAAAAGCCCAGCTCTAGCTTCAGAAACTCCCTCTCACTCCCCAGCCAGAAACCTCAGGGGGCTTTTGCCTTCTCCAGCCTTTCTTATAACCCCAGCCTCCTGCCTTAGTCCCTTCTGAACTCTTCTGCCTCCACTGCAGTTTGGGGGATGCCTGGAGTCCCCCTGCCCCTCGCCCCCAACAGTTGAGAAGAGCATCACGGAATTGCAGGGGTTCGAGAGATCAGCTGCACCCCCACCTGGGTTTTGAACCCCTATTTCAAGCCAAGGGCCCCTTCAGCTCTGGTACCTGTCAGGGGGCAGCCTGCACCTTTCCATCTCTCCCTTTCCAAAGAGGTGTTGCTGAACACCTAAGAAGGCCTGCTGGTGTCTGTGCGGTTGGGCAGAAGTGTATCCATTTACCCGCCCCCAACACCTCTGAAGCTCCCCTTCTCTTCTAAGCTCCCCACCCACCAGGAGTACCTGGGCACGCAAAAAAAGTGAAGTTGCTCGGTCGTGACCGACTCTTTGCAACCCCATGAAGCCCGCCAGGCTCCTCCATCCATGGGATTTTCCAGGCAACAGTACTGGAGTGGGTTGCCAGTTCCTTCTCCAGGGGATCTTCCCGACCCAGGGATTGAACCCGGGGCTCCCGCATTGCAGGCAGACGCTTTACCGTCTGAGCCACCGGGCACGCAAAGTGGCCCCCAAATGCTTAGCTGCCCAGTGCCTCCCGCCAGCTGGTCACCTCCTTCCTCCCTCGCTCGCTGGCAAACCCAGGGACCAAAGGTGTCCATCCGTGAGACTGAGAGCGCAGAGGGGCAGCTTCTGCCGGGGGGCGCGGCTCCACCTGCAGGGTGCTGGGCGGCGGGCGCGCGGCGGGAGGCGCGGGCCGCGGGGGCGGAGGAGCGGGCGGCGCGAGGGAGGGGCCTGCGACAGCGGCGGCGGCGGCAGCGGCGGCCCCAGTCCGCGCAGCCCGGCTCGGCCCCGGCTCGGTCGGCGCAGCGCCGCGCGCGTCCCCTCCCGCCGCCGCTGCCGCCGCC